GGCCAACTGACTGCACAAAGTTGTCAACTGGCAGCGAGCAGCCCAAAACCAAGGACGAGGAAATGAAATGAAAACTCAACACACACACACACGCAGACAGAGACAGCGACAGGTGCGGGGCGGCGCATAGCTTTGGCCACAACGGCAGTTGGACAATGCGCGCACCCGTTGCCAGCCAACCAATCAGGTAACAAATCAAGCGGCGTGTGACATGCAACTGAAGCGTGCGTGCCCACGAACGCGTGTCCTTTCATGCATTATGAAGTCAGTGCACAGACAGGCAGGCAGGCAGGCAGCTCCACCCGGACGGACTGGCTGTCAGTGCAGGGCAGACGACTTGGCAGCTCGGTAACTCGGCAACTCGGCTGCTTGGCAAGTTCCAGTAGCTAGTTTGTAGTGCGCCTCGACTAGGTTGACTTGGTTAGTTTAACACGTTTGCCTGTCCATTGGCCAGCAAGCGGCCCAGTCTCGTGCCAGTCTCGTCGTCCCCTGCTGTGGCACGTCAATGCTTTCATCATTTAATTAACTGTTTTGCCTGGCGTGTGCGAACAGGTTGATTGCCTGGTGGCCAGCAGCGTGGCACAGACAATGCACTCGCCTCCCCCTTGCGCAAATATGATGAAAAATCACATTTCAATATGCAGCAGCAGCAGCAGCAGCCACAGCTGCGACTCCTTCGTGGCGCACGTTGCATGCCACTTGATTGATCGCCTCGCCATGCGGCGACTAAACGGGAAATTTAAATGTCACTCGGGCCGGGCAACATGTTGTGGCCCCAAGGCAATACAACTTGGCTGCCTAGTTGGAGACTAGTGATAAGAAATTTAAATAGTAATAGCTCAGAGGAGAGAGCGAGAGAGAGAGAGTGAAAGCGAGTTGCTTTATTATTCTTTGCATACATATTTATATATAATACGTTCAACTTTAATTCAAGATTAGAAATCTTCTGTGAAGAGTTTTCCGTTGCCAACTGCCAGAACTTGTTTAAGTCGCAACGAGTTGATATACCCGTACACTGCTCAGCACACATACACACACACACACACAGTTCCATTTCTTGAGTAATTTATCTCTGGCAGCAGCAAGTTGTACTCGGAAACACAGAGAGCGGCGAGTACAATAGCTCGCTGCGTTGCTTATAAGCTCTAACAAATCGCATCAATGTCTCTTGTGGCTTTGGCTTTATTCTCTTTTTAGTTCATCTTCTGCTGCAACATCGCAAACAACAATTGCAACAAGAACTCGCAGCTATCAAATTAACAGATAAAGTCCTCCATCTAGTGTGGGAGTGGGAGTGTGGGCTGTGGGCTGTATGGGATTTGGGCTCGTATAATTTATAGTTGTAAATCAGAACGACAAACACGGAATTGTTTACGACTGCGTTAGGGAAAGCAAAGAATTTTCAGCTTTTGTAGATTGAAAAGAAATTCGGCGCGATATTTGCGGTGATTTATGTATTATTTTCGACGTTATTTGAGTTTATATTGAAAGCATTAGGAAAACAAAAACAAAATGCCGGCGCCGCAGGCAGAGGGCACAGGGCAGAGGGCAGAGGGCAGAGGGCAGAGGGCAGAAAGCAGAGCGCAGCGAACAGATAAAAACTAAAACTGCACAATGGAGAAACAACAAAAACAAAAAAGTACAGAAAATGGAAGGGAAAACGAAGTTTGAATGTAGGTAACAAACAACCAACAGACAGGCAGACAGACAGACAGGCAAGCAGATAGTCAGCAAAGCGAGTGCGAGCGAGATGCAGCAGGAGCGACAGATAAAGCGCAAAGGGCAGACAGACAAATAAAGCGGAAATGTTAACGGCAACGAATGGCGGCGCTGCTGACTGCAGCCGAGGGCAGCCATTTTATATATAATGCATGCGTATTGGTGTGTGTTGAGTGTGCATGTGTGTGTGCGTGTGGGAGACTAGTGCTTAGGTAGATTTCATTTCGGTATATATACATATACATGATTAGCGCTTAATCACATACATAGGTAAGCCGATTGCCTTTGTGCCGAGGCTGCAATTTATACATATTTCTGGACATCAGTCGTCAATTTAAATTTACTGCCAGTTAAGCTGGCCAAAAGTGCTGAACAAAATTGTAGAGCACTCACGATAAGACCAACTGAAAGGCCAACGCAACAGAACAGAACAGAGCAGTCAAGTATTTTCGTTGGGCGGAGCAGGTTGATGCAGCTGGGGCCACAACATTTGTTGACATTAATGCCTTGGAGAAGGGCTCGATGGGTCTCTCGTTCGCGTTGAAAAGCGCAGCAGTGCAGCTGCCAGCTTGAAATCGTATACACTTATATAAGCACAAATTTCGTCACACATACACACACACACACACACACACTCATGCACATAAAGCAAGTGCTTGAATATGGTCTACACAGATGCTGCAGCTGAAAATAAAAGCAAAGAAGTGTCACTCACAATGGCACTGAAGTGGAGCACTTGGATGCACGCTCTGCGCTGTAGAGTCCAGCACATATATTCACACACTCACACACACACACACACACACACATACACACACACACATATAAATATGAAGTAAATATGTGTTGCTGTTTACTCAACAATCGGCAACAGGCTGTGAAGCAGCTGCCCGGGGTCGCATTGACTTTAAGTGACTTTTTCAATTATTTAAGAGATTTTTCTCGCTGCGCTTATCAAGAATTTAAGAGCTCAAAGTAAACGAAAAATTACCGAAACTTCTTTGGTACAGGGCAAATAAATCATATGAAAGTTGGACTTGTCTGTAAGCTGAATGAGGCGAGAGTCAGCCATAAAGATTATGGTCTGAATGCATTATAAATTTATTGGGGAAAATAAACATGTTAGTTAGAAGACAAGCGTGCCTTGCTTAATATTAAATCAAAGTTGCTGCAAAATATATTAAAGCAAGACTAATTTCAGCATGGAGCAACAGAAATATTTGCAGCAGAATAACTTTCATAATGAACCTAAAGCAAATCGCAATTTTCCCCGCCTCCAGACACTTCATCAGGAACAGTATTATATGCTGAAATAACTGTGTTTCGTTCCACCCAATTAAAACGCCAGCTTCAACTTTAAAACATGCGCAATTTGTCAGAAAGTTTCATGAAGTCGGCAAGCATTATATATATTATATAAATATAAATATTTTCCTTATATTTATTTATTTTTACTCACTGCTGTTGTTTGGGATAGATTGTTGTGCGCTCTGCTGCGGCCGTTGCTGCTGGGCACAAGAATAACAATTAATTCCGGATAAACACATTTCCTAATTAAAAAATTCCTTTGTAACATGATGAAGCAGTACAAAAACAAAAGCGAGCCAAATGAAATTAAGTGAAAACAACTAAGCAAAAACAAACGCAAAAAAAAAATGAAGCAGAAGATGGAAAAAGAAAATCAACCGACAAGGGAACAGCTTACCAAGCTGACAGGCCAGAGAACAACACCAACACCAACACACACACACACACACACACACCGAGTTAGACAAGAGCTGAGCAAGATAAAGGATAGAAAATGTGCAAAAACTTTTGGACAAGCGCATGAAATGCGAAATTTGTACGAATTGTTGAAAGGTTTGTAACGCAGTCAAGTTGCTTGCTGCAACACATGGCGTATACGTAACGCGACTTCAACGGTTGCCAACGGTGTCGCACGCGCTTTGACTCTGACTCAAAGGCCAAAAATTTAATCATCTGTCGGTCACTAAGCTGATTAGGGTCGCATGCGACAAAGCCCCCGCCCCCCTCTAACCGCTAACCAATTTACCGCCCGCTTTCTCTTTCGCTTTCGCATTTTGCTCACCAAAATACATCTTTTGGCATTGCTAAGGATTTCTTCTTCTTCTGCTATGAATTTCCCTGCAGCAAGTAATTTATTGTTTGTAGCGTAATTAACCCGCTTCGTGGTTCCCTTTTTCTTTCATTTTTATTTTCTCTCTCTCTCTCTCTTTCTCACACTCTTTTTTTCGACTTTCACACTTTTCTTGTGCCTAATGACGTTATACACATTTTGCATGCGACTTACTTGTATACCCTAGATTTGAATAAACTTCATGCCGAATCGTAAGAGAATCGCATTTAAGGTGCTTGAAATGTGGGCAGTATATATATATATACATGTATATACATATATCTCATATTATATTTAAAATTAAATTTTACAGGGTATGTGCTCGCCATTCCTATGCCATTTACAACTCTATTTTCATATACATTTCTTATCGGGCCAAACATTTTTTGGGTCAGCAAATGGGAATTTCATTTTGCTTAGGTGATCCAAGTCTTATCTGCGTGCAAAGACCTTAAAGTAATTAGTTTTCCAGTGGCCAGGCTGCCAACCCATGCTAAACTGCCCCAGAGGATATTTTTTCCCACTGATGTTTCACAAATTGTGAGCAGCTCGGACGAGCTCCATGTTGGGGTCTGCACTGGCAGCGTAGCAGTCGGCCCCTGGCCACTGGCAACTTGCAACTGTCAGCTTTGGCTGCCTCTGGTCTGCCCCTCCCCAAGAGCAGCAATGCGAAATGACAGGCAAATTAAACTCGAGTGGATGACAGGCAACAGACAATTTATCAGATATATTCCTATATAAATTTAGAACTGTGCGATAATGGCAAAGATAGCAAAAAATACATTTATTGCGAACATGTATTTAAAGATGAAAGGAAAAAAAAGTATCTAAATATTTATGTTCACTATTGGAGCCATGGAGTAATCGGATTTTATTGAAGCGCTCACTTCCGTAAATATGCAAAAAGAACACAAATGGAAAATCACATGAAAGTGTATTTCGTATTCCGAAAAAAATCAAGTATTCCGTTTATATAGACAAAATCAAAAAATATTGTCAGTCTCGATAATTAAAGTTGTATTTTAGAAAATTTAGCATAATCTTCAGGTTTTTCATTTTGGAAGCGTTGCTGTTTGTTGGTGTTCTGTTTCTTTATTCCGACAAGTTTTCCTAACAACTTTTCGTTTTCTCTCCTGTCTCAGAGATGGCTACCAATGCACCAGCCCACAAGGCCAGCAACATGCTCAGCAGCCGTCTGGGCTATAAGCCAGTGAAATTGGAAATGCCTCAGCTTGCGCGCGCCTACCAGCCGCCGACCATTGTCAGTGTGAATGCCAAGGATGCGAACAAGGACAAGGACAAGAACAAGGACAAGGATCGAAAACAAAAGATGGCAGTAACGAAGCAAAGCAGCAATCCAAAGTCGTACTGCAAGCGCACTGAGGCGCCAGCCGCCGCAGCGAGTGCATCCGTTCAATTGGCTGGCCACGCTAAGGTGACGAAGGTGACGAAGGCGACGTCCAACGAGCACACTGTGGTGCTGGCCAGGCACGTCGATCAGGCCCAGTACGGCAAGCAAGCGCGCAAGCCCAAGCTGGATGGACCCGCATCGAGAACGAAGAATCTGCGGCCAACGCCCGCGGAGACAGCGCTGCCGACCAACAAACATGCGAAGGAGTCAAAATCACCGGACAGGGCGGACGCCCAGCGTCAGATTCGCACCAAGAACCAAAGTCACAATACCAAAATCTTCTTCGATAAGTATCTGAAATTCGCCTACGATCTGAGCACGCCCGACGGTGTGCGCCAGCTGGAGGCGCATTTCTTTCCCACCGACAATCCCGCGAACCGGCAGACGCGAAAGAAAAGCGAGTCCGGCGACACCAGCGAGAGGGCACTCCACGGTGGAGAGGAACGCCTGTCCAGCGTCAGCATGCACACCAATTCCACTCATCAAGTGCTGCAGCAGAGCAAATGCTGCGATGTCAAGGATAAATAGGGCCTTTCACGAGATCTAACACACATTGTCAAAATTTTATGGTTTTTAGATCGAAAAATTTGTAAGCATTCACAATGAAAATTAAATTCGGGCGCGTTATGAATTCGAAGAATCACTTTTTACTCATAACTAAAGCTACCTATAGCCTGTTCTCAAATTTATTCGAGTCCTGGAAATTTCCTCTGCTTTGTCAGGAGAGTAAACAAAGACATTTATGCCATAGAAATAATAGTGGCTGATAAAAGTCTATACCACGACTGGCTAGTCAGATAGACGTTATATAACATATAACTTAAAATTGCGATTCATAAATTCTAACTTTGATTTTATATGTAGAGCTCATACGATTTTAAGCACTTAAAGTTATATAACTGTTAACTAAATTGAAAACGAGATTTAGCATTATGTTCGCATGCTGGACATAAGCCCAACACCTCAGATTATAATTTATTTCACATTAAAGGTATAGCATGTTTATTTTTTAATTACCAGACCGGGACACATAAGTACTCTGTTCTGGGTCTAATGAGCGTTAATAATACTGTACCACCAGCTGGCTAATTCGCCCACCACAACAACAACAACTGCAACAACAACAATAGCATCAACAACAGCAACAACAACAAAAGCAAACATTTTTGCGCACAGTTTAAATGAAATTTATTGTCTAGCTGGTGTGGTCAGCCCACATGCAAATGTATTATCCTTTATTGCACACCAACACAGGCACACACACACACACACACACACACGCACACAAACCGCAAGCTCATTCAGCAAAAGGCAGACACCAACAGACAAAAGCAACTCACTGGGCATTGTAAATCATAATCAAAACAATAGAACAAATGAAGCTAATGTGGTTCATGCAAAACAACAACAACAACAACAGCAACGACAACGACTACAACAATTGCATGTACATCACATACAGAGAGCGTGTGTGTGTGTGTATGTGTTTGTGTGGGCGGAAATGTTGCTGTAAGCGTTAACTCTGACTGCCTCTGGTCGGGGCAAACTTTAAAATCGCCAACAAATTAAACTATACAAAATTCTGTAAATATGGCACAAAATGTTGAAGTCCTACATAAATGGCATGCGGGCAGCACTTAAATGCAGACTGCATGCACGTAGGTGTTAAGTGTAAGAGATATTGTATGTTAGAAATGCAGTTAATGGACTAGAATTAAAATTCCACTAAAATTAAATAAAATACACGACTACACGTCAAATGTGGTAAGCTCAACAAATTTGATGGATGTTGATGAAATTTAAATCTTTTTCTTAATATAAAATAACATACTTCATAATATATTTTATATATATAATATATACTGATGATAAATATAAAAAGTTTAATTTAAATGTGATATTAGCAAATTTTAAGAATTTTGAGTTTTATAATTTGTAATATTTTATATTAATATTCAGTAAGTGTTTGTTTTTTTTTTATGGAACTATATTTATAGTATTTTTCTAAATATCAGCTATTTTTGTAAAATGTATAAATATATACATTATAATCTACGATTTAGTGCAGTTTTATAGCTGCTAATCTTGCATAATTTATGCAAAGGTATTGAATATTTCATTATTGAAAATCTACGGGTAAGTATGATATTTATCCCTAACTATGGCTTAATTAGGCTTTATTCCATTTAAAAACATTTAAAATGAATGCCCTAATATTTAAAGACATCTACAACATAAACTAGAAACCCATAAAACTCGTTTTTGTTTTAAATTCTTTTTTCATGTGGTTTAATTCAATTAATATTGTTCTGAACTAGTGCGACAACAATAGCGCGTAATTAGTGGGCATTGATATATGCGAGGGCTGTCGCGTCGCTGCAGCTGCATTAATCATAGCTGATGCAACCAGCCGCTGCTGCGGCTGTTGCAGCTACAGCTGCCGCAAACGTGCTTAATGAAATCCAAACAATGCGCTAAATTCAATACATTTCAATTAATACTATGAAAAAATAATACAAAAAACATGAAATAAATTGTGTTGTGCTGTGTACTCAAACAAACATCCACAACGCTGTGTGTAGTTGGTTGACATCGGGTCAGATCTGTTTTTCGAGAATTTGGTCCCCTTCAACCAGCTGTAGCAGTGGTTGATGACAACAATGTGAAACAAAAGATAATATAAATTATAAGAAACTTATATGAGAGCCTGGTTTTACTTGAGTAAGTACAGATACAGATACAGATACAGATACAGATACAGATACAGATACAGATACAGA